CTCCCGGTCCTTCTTGAGGCTCTTCGTGAGCTGACGTTGTAGATGCCACCTAATTCTATTTTGATCCTGGTAGGTCGGGATTTGTCGCTTTTTATCCATCAAAACTACTGACTACTGAGATATCCAATGCCTCCGACGGGCTTGAGGCTCAGAACCACAAGCAACATTCGCTGCGGAATGCATTGCTCAACTAATATGATCCCACTGCTCATCTGCATCACCACGTTGAGGCGCGCTTGGCCCACGCGCTAGCTCTGATTCATAGCGTACATGAACTGCTGGAACAGATAGCCACTAATGAGCTATATGAGTTTATTGAATTCGTCGCCGGCCAGTCAGTCGGAGAGTGAACTCCATCAAAACTTATGCGCGGTCCGACTCAACGCTGGTGGTCCAATAGGGCCTGAAATTTTGTACCGAGCCACGCCAACGTAACTTACTGCGATGTGGTCGATTTGAGTTAGCGTACCAGTTGAACTGGAGCGCCACGTTACCGCTGTCGATTTGAGTTAGCGTACCAGTTGAACTGGAGCGCCACGTTGCCGTCCGTCGAGAGCTGTGCCGGAATTTGGTGCTAGATAGGAACAGATGACGATCCGCGCAGAACTGGAGACGTCGATCACCGTTGTCTGTTCGTTGGCAGGGTAGAGCACAAATTCCGCCTAGACACGCTTCGGGTACGCTCAGTTTTCCAACTTGTGCGTGAAAGTCACCTGCAAGTACAACTGTGTCGGAGCTTCGGCTCAGCCGCATGAGATCGATGAGTTCACCGTAGAAAGCGTCTTTTGGGTTAGCAGAACTGCAATTGGTCGGTGCGTATGCCAATACGATGAACAAATACCCTTGATGTTGCTGCCCTTCTGGACGCTGACTGAACCCTGGAGACGCATTGCATCTAAACGACTGTTCACGGGGATCCAGTCGATAAGAGAGGACTCCGCCCTGTTACTGAGTACAATACCTACCCCGCGCTGACCTACTGCGCGGGCTTTGTTGTCGCCTGACGTGCGAAGGACGTAGATCGAAGATAAATCTGGCACACTCAGGTGGCTTTTAGTAGTAGGATTCTAGATTCGATTTTCCGGCATGGAGCAAATATCGATCCCTAAGGATTCCATTGTACGAGCCAGACAAGCTTGTTGACCTACCTGCATCAAAGTCCTCACGTTGAAGGCCCCCAAATTCAGTGATTGACGAGGCTGCAACTCACTCCGTGGTACAATACTAACAGTGCTTTTGGGAACCACCTTTGGTGAGCGACGCAAGTTTTCTGAGGGACTAGTATAGGTTAGAAGGAAGGACAAATGGAGAGGGCTGGGTGCTGAAGACAAAGAATTTGTACAAAAGTTGGTCGAATTCGCCGATGGCGTGGTAGTGCTTCGAGAGGACCTGAACGCCTTACAAACAGCTCTCAACCGTATCAAAAGATTTGCCTCCGAGATCGGCCTTGAGATTAATCGTAACAAAACTAAGACGTTCGATACTCCACTTGATCAAGCGGAACATCCCCTGAAAACGGGTGATCGGACAATAGAAATAGTATCGAACTTCAGGTACCTTGGGTCCAACATCCTGCCCAATGGACAAGCCAAAGATGATGTAAAGCGGCGCAACGAAACGGCTCGAACGGCGTTTCTGCGGCTTTGAACCACCCTATAGCGCCGAAAAGAGATGAGTCTCAAAACCAAACTCAAGGTCCTTGCCATAGCAGTCCGATCAGTCCTACTATATGGCTGCGGAACCTGGTCGCTGAAGACATCAGACGATTGGTCTCAGATCACTGGTATCTTATATTCATCCTGACAGTAAACTGGCGGGACAGTCTCAAACTCTGAAATCGCTGTAGCATTGCGTCTTCTAATGCACATTCAACGCCGACGAATACAATGGCTGGGTTATTTTCCGCAAACCCGACGCCACATTCACAAGTATTGTCTTGGCACGGTCACCTTGTCCTGGCTGGTGCCGCCAACAAGGGGGGCAACTAGAAACCTGGCTGGACACTATTCGAAAACGTCGACCGAATTGGCCTTCGGAGGGTGTACGGCACCCGCTGATGGAAAACCAACTGGATCGACATTTGCAAGGATTTTGAAGCCGACCACCAAGCATGGTTGGCGGCAATCAGATACATTCATGGAATGGACTTCTCTCCAATGAGCCTGACGTATTAAAGTAACATCAATGCTGTCTAGCAGTCCGCACTTCATTGCGCAGCTAGAGTGCACCTTCACCAATTGGTAGAATCAGACTGATCCATCTGCGCTTAAAGCTACGGATAACCGCAACAGCAATAAATCTATTTCAGACAGTGCAGCAGAACATCGAAACATCGCGCAATCTGATCAACAGCTGGTCCTGTCTGAAGTTTCAGTGATAAACATACCCACGGCCTAACCTCAGTGGAGTTAAATCGACAATCATCACAGAAGCCTTCCACTAGTCAAACCAGTCGAATATTAATAAATTCATGCCAACAATTAACCGATCCTTCGCAATAGCGAGGTGTAATACAATGATGAACCGAAATTTTGTTGCAAGGAAGCTGGACTTGAGAAAACTACAGGCCAAACCAAATCCTGATCAACTTCACCGACAAGAAATCTAGAAAAGTGCCAACATATGAGGAAATCAATTCACTAGCAAGTGAACTACTTCACTGACTCCACAAAACATTAACCCAACACACACAGGATAAACAAGAAGTAGCTTACTTTACGTGGACGTTCCATGCAGTCTTTTCTCTTGTGCGTCAATGAGCCACAATTTTCACAAGCGCCATCTCGATACTTCAGGGCCTTAGTCTTCTGTGGGGCACCTCGTTTATACCAGGCATTGAGAGAAGTGGACCCCTTCATTTTCCCAGAGGCCTCCTCTCTTTTCTGCTCATCTTGAATGCGCTGGTGCCTGAGAGTTGGATGCAGTGCCCCGTAATACCATGGAGCTTGCATAATATATTGAGGAATATGTGGGTTAATGTCCCGGCCCTCTTCATCCTTCATGGCAGGCATTACAGCCAATTTTCGTGCCTCCTCCAACTCCTTCATCTTTTTATAATTCTCTTTGCTTTTTTTCTTTTCATCACTACCACCTGCCTCCTTAACTCGCTGAAGAAGGGAAGGCGGAAAATTAGGAACAAACGACATCCTGCGACCAGCTGACCTAGGGCGTAAATCGGGCGCGCTCGATTATGATAAAACAGAAAAACAAACTTCAGTTCAGTTCAGTTCAGTCGCACAGGACGAATATGGCTCTTGCCAATCGAGCGTCCAGTTCGTTGTGATGTTGGCGGATGGGATTGGCTTCCAACACTGCGTACGGTTGATTGAGTATTTGTGATCCT